TATTTCGTGGTTATACGGATTTTTTAATTTTTACTTTTTTATATGTTCATTTTACCGGGGGACGCCAAAGGGAGGGGGGAGGGGTGATGTTAACCGAAAAATTAACTTCAATTACTTAATAAATTTAACAAACATATCAAACTAAAAAAATTTATTTAACATTGGTTTATATATTTTATTTAATGAAAAAATTTTCAAAAAATTATTTAATGAGAATAATTTATTTAATAAATTTTTTTTGTATATAGTTGATCCTATTAAAGATTGGTGCCATAAATATTATGTCATGTCGTAATTGTATTTTTACCAATTATTACATATTTTTATTAATGAATATTACAAATTACGACAATTATGACATGACTTAACTATTTATGGCACCAATATTTAGATCCTATACAATACAATGAACCTTTCTATAACGACCTCTGAATATAAAATTTCAAATTATATAATAAATAACTTGTTATAAAAACGCCATGGGCTTTAATGAATTTTCAATTCGGTATAAAAAGGTAGATTATAATTTTTTTGATAATAAAAAATAACATTATATAAAGAACTAAGAAAATATTGCCTTATGAAAGTACAAATAAGTATCGAAACATAATTTAAACATTTAAGAGCTTTTACGGATAATACAATGATATTAATTTTGTAGTAAACGTAAAATATAATATTAATTAAGGTCTTTAATGAACTTGAATTATAACGATAATAAGTTTGATAATTATACTAAAAATCGGCCTAAGTTATTCTTCAATCAGCTAAATATAATTTTTTTCTTTCATTAATTTCGTGTGCAAATACCGTAAGATACAAAAAAATAAAGTAATTTAAGTGTAACGCAGAAAAAAAATCGACTCTATTATATAAATCATTATCGTTATCACTGATGCATTGTTTTGTTATTGTATTAAATTTGTTCAACTAAGTAGTCAAGACCATCACATGATCGTCCGGAGTACATATTTACAGTATGGATAAACGGATGACGTATTTATCCGGACTGGAACTCCAATTTAGATATTTTTTACAAATGCTAAATATTAAAGTGATTAATTTTATATCACAATAAATTAGGCCCTGACCTAATAAACTAATAATACAAACGAGAAAATTGGAAAGCCCTAATTTCTCCCAGTTGTTATTAGACACACAGTCAAAAACATTGTTTTAGTTTTCTTCAATAGAAAAAATTATACAAAATATTTTTTTAGTTTACTTCAATTGAAAAATATTGCAAAATATTTTTTACTAAGCGAAGGTATTTTATTTACGCATTTCAGAAATTCTTCTGCTAGCAAAAAAAAAAAAAAATCGAAAAAAATCTAAAGCATTAATAAAAATAGGTGCTTTTGACACTATCAAGAAACTTTTTATAAAATTTTTATTTTGTTTAAAAATTAATTGACAAGAACATTTGAAATGTTTCAAGTTCATTTTTTTGATACTGATACAATACTGCAAATTACTAATTAATAAATTTGCTTAATATAATACAATACGTATGTATTACAGTACATTGTCGTTATTAAACAATTTTTAATGAAATTAATTGTGATGACATTCTTGATCATAGATAACTTGCTCATTTATAACAATCAAACGAAAGTGTTAGATTGGTTAATAGATGAACATAAACTACGTACGATCGCTAAGAAACATGAGATTATCAAATAATCTGGACGGCAAAAATCCGACTGAAAAATTATTAAATATGGAAAATCTAGAAATTGGCAATCGGCAATCTATTATTTCCTGGCAGGTACTTTGTAAACACTGACGGAAAAATTTTCACATTATTTCTGCAAATTTTTATTAAATAATGTGACAATTCTGATTAATTTTAATATAAAAAATTTGCGGAAGTAATATAAAATTCTTTCCGTAAGTGTATAGTCATACCTGCCTGATAAACTAGTTATCTGGCATGATATACAAATCGACAGTAAACGCATGTGGCCGAAGACCTTGTGCTTTTGCTATTATCCTGCCGATACCAATGTACCCGACAAATTATGCCATATAAAAAGAAATTATTTGTTAATAGTTTATCTTTTTCATTTGAGCTTCTGCAGAGCAAGAGCGAGAGCAAGGACAAGGGCAAGAGCAAGAAAGTAGACTATATGAAACTCTTTCAAATTAGTGATGCATTTAATAAACTTTTTTTTTGGCTATTTTTTCGCTCAAAATAGTCGTGATATTAGCGTTAAGTAATCCAATAATGAAAGTCAAAATTAGCAAAATCATATTTCACAATTTAAGAGGGTTAATCAGAATTCTTTAAACAAAGAGCTTATTTAGAATTACATTTATACCAAAGTCGTACTGAGTATAATGTCTAATGTATATAAAAAAAAATTTAATTCACGTGCTAGAGGTAATAATTTTTTATGCAATTCGACCACTCGCATCCTAGTTTTATTTAAAACAATACTTTTGAAAAGTATACAACAAGGTAACAAAATAATATGTATTGAACAATTTTAAACCTGTTAGTATCAAATGAACTAGTTAACTAAAACACCTTTTAACTATAGATATAGGCGTGTAACGTTTTGTAGTAAATGCTCACTTGAGAAGTATTATAACTTTCTCAATATAAATACGATATAATTTGTATTTATTGCTTTCTTTTAATACAGATTCCATATGGCCTGACGTCTTCACCTTTTTCAGAAACCCAATACTCGCCATTTCCAACAGGAAACTGTTGCAGATTAACAGGATTTACTCTGTTTTGAAATACCATCACATATTTATTTCCTTCAAATTCAAATTCAGTCGCATATTGTTCAGCTATATGTATGTCGGGTGTTGAATAAATGCCACGTCCATAAGCAAACCGCTTTCCTTTACTTAATAAATAACCATCTTCAGCAATTGACCTTGCATTATGTTTAGCAGTACCATGATATGATACTGGCCAAGCATTTTTATCGGTGCCAAGCCATTTATTATCACCGTCATCATACCTCCCAGCAACCTTTAAAGCGATTCGTTTCCATCCACATGGTCTTTTATATTGCAGATATCCTCGCATAAATGTCGCTCCTATATCTTCAATATTTGTAAAATCGTAATCATATGGTGGATCCAAAGTACTCACACTTAAATAACTAATTACACATCCACCACCACGAAGGCGCAAAACTAAGTGCAATAAACTTTTGCTTTGAATGTTGTAGTCGGAGAGCGTTCTACCATCCTCCAATTGCCTTCCTGCAAAAATTAATCTCTGTTGATCTGGTGGAATGCCTTCTTTAGTTTGAATTCGTTGCTTAACAACGTCAATAGTATTATTTCCTTCACATTCAATCTCTACAGTTTTACCAGTGAGCGTTTTCACAAAAATCATTGGTGTATTATTACCAGTATTGTAGGTAATTTGTGATTGATAAGATGAGAGCTGACAATTAGCAAGATTATCACCAACAAGATTGATTTGATGAAATGAGTTTAAGTCAACTTGCTCATATGTCGCATAACCATCGTTACGGGCTTGCCTTTCACGAAGTTCTTTTTCTGATATAAACTTGTGGGTTCCCATTACGGCTGTAAAAGCCGCGTTAATGAGGTCAATATTTTGAGAGTTAGACATGGTTAACGAATTTACAGACTCTTTTTGATAGATGGATGTTTTTTTTTTTGAACATTATCAAAATTGTTAACATTTGCATTTATATGGATTCAACCAATTTTTTGATTTCAGAAATAACGCAATTTGATTGGATCCACTCATTCTAATTTTAGACACTGTAACTGCCAAGACAAAGTCATTATTTCCTTTTTGGTTACAAATATTTCTGTCAATATTAATATATAAAGCTTCTTTGTAGAATTTCCTTATAAAGCTCGAAGAATAGTATATAGAAACAATGTGCTTGTACGTACGTACGTACAATCAGAATTCTACAATTCGAATATTCCGAATATTCCGAATTCGAGGTATTTCAGCCCAGTGATCATCATATTACATAAAATTAGACTATTAATTTTTTGTTTTATTTCAAAACAAAAGTTAGACAAATATAGACAGAATGGACAAAGTTTATACAATCATTTTTTATAAGGTTTGGTAAACTGCATATCCCTCAATATTGGACAAAGCTTGTGATGTACAATAATTTTAAAAGCGCAGTAAATAATTAGCTAATGATAGGCTTTTAAGAGTAAGCAAAGCTAATTTTTGTCATAATTTTCTCAACTCTGGCAGAAACAATTTTGATTAGTTGAATAAACTTTTGGTAGACCTTTAGAAATTTCAGTACTATTTTGAATGTTGGTAGAACTCAGTGAAATTTTGTGTTTGGTAGGGCTATTACAATTTCTACCGATAAATTACATGAACCAGGTTTATAATTCTCAAAATCTTATCGAACTAATTCAAAAAATAATCTTTTCGGAAACTACTTCCGAACTTTGATACACAGTTTCTAAAAGCCAAATAATGCTTAAAACGAATAAAATAGGTTTCGAGAAACAATAAAATTTTTAGGTGGTCAAGAATTTATGAAAATAGCTGTAAAACTAGTTTTACAGCTGTTTTCGATTTAATTGGATCGACACTGCATAATTTTTTTTTGAGCCCGTGAATACCAAAATTGAACTTCATACACAGATCGTAATCACGGGAAAAAATTATGCAGATTGTCGATCCAACTAAATCGAAAACAGCAATCAGTTTTTTAGCATATTTAGTCATAGGAAGACGATTGGCTGTTTAAATCAATTTAATTTTACATTATTTATACAGTTTAAAGTACTTTTTAAAAAAAAGAAATCTACGAAGAATAAACGAAAAAGAAGTATATAGAAAGTTTTATTAGGGTTGTAGGACTCCATATTAAAAAGTATCTCTATCCCTTGTTGTTTTAGAGAAGTTAGCATGGTGATAACCTAATTCTATCTATCTTTAAGAAGTCGCTATTATGCTAACTTCTCTAAAACAAAAAGGGATAGAGATACTTTTTAATAGTGGAGTCCTACAACCCTAATAAAACTTTCTATATACTTCTTTTTTGTTTATTCTTCGTAGTTTTCTTTTTTTTAAAAAGTACTTTAAACTGTATAAATAATGTAAAATTAAATTTATTTAAACAGCCAATCATACGAAAGTCTTCCTATGAGAGCCATTACTACCGCACTAACCAAACTTTAATCGGCCATTGTACTAAACCTTTAATCATTAAAAAAAGTTATCGCCCGGAACAATTTTGACTAAAGCTGCTAGCCAAAGCCCAGGGATGGTGAATACTCCGCTCCATTTTATTCCGATATCAATTGACCAATCAAAACTTGCATCTAGTGACAAATGCAAGTTTTGATTGATCAATTGATATCGGAATAAAGTGGAATGGAAGTATTCACCGTCCTGATGGAGCCGATGGAGCCACGAATGGAGCCAATGGGGCCAATGAAGCTCTGAATGGATCTCCAAGTTCGTGTCGATCATTGCCGCAGCACCACGATTATTTTTCTTCAAAATACATTAAAATGTTCATTGCCCGTACATTACCATGGTAGGGTATTATGATATCCTATCGTAAGTTGGCAATATTAAAACTTTAGAACTTCTGAGTGGGAATCAATGGATACTGTTTCTTGAGCAAAAACGCGAAAAATCGGAACGCAAAAAATTTCACGTAGCGTGACCCGAAAACGTGATTAAGACTCGATCCGCGCCGTCATAGAGATCACCAAGAATGCCTCAAGACCTCTAAGAACCCATGAATAAGCCCGCCTTGTTAGAACCTGATATGACTTTCTGGAATAGGAAATTTTAAATTAGTCTAATGGAACTACGATCGGGATTATGGACACATAACCGGTCGTATTTGTGGTCATGCTGCTTTTCCGATGCGACTTTCATGAGAAAGAACCGATCGTGGAGTAAAAGACAACAATCGAAAGCCATCAACAAAGATGGCGTGATAGGATAACGATAAAATTCTAAACCTTTTGATCTTTTCTTTCCGTGCAATCAGTGTTGTCACATAGATGTTTGGCTGTCCATTGGTCACGGTCAAATTTTTGAAAAATTTATTTGGCCGAAATGTCCAAAAGTTTATATAATAAAAACTAGTAATATGATTGGCTAATATTACAAAATCAGAAATTTTTTGGCCGAAGTTTGGCCATTGGCTGGTTGGCCGGCCCCAAAAAATTGTTTGGCCGCAAAAATTGCCAACACTGAGTGTAATCCATTATAAATATGATTAGACTTTGCAGTGCCGCTGTATACCCGATACGCCTTACCTTGCCAAATCTACTTCTTGAGTGTGGTTGTTTTAGTTTGGTGGTGATAACTTGGTCTATGTAGCAGCCAATTGCCTCATTACACCATCGAGCTCCATTGGCTTCATTGCCAACCTTGCTAGCCGTGGGTACCATCGCTATGTATATATTATACAGTACGTCAAATTAAAATTTGCATCAGATCAAAATAACTATAATGGCTAATACCTACTTTTACCCCTAACACAGGGTTTACCCTAATCCTAATAATCAGGTATTTAATTAATCTGGCACAACATGCTGTATATACCAGAGGAAAAAAATCCCACTTATATAGATATTGATCATATGATTTGTTAGGATCTTGACGGATTTAAGTATTGAGATTCTCGACATTTTACTAATTTACTCCAAGCTTCTATTGGCTGGAATTCGAGCAAATTTGCATGTCATATTTTTTTAAAAATATGGCATCTTAATTAAAGTTAGTGATAGATTTAGTGGGCAGTATTATACCAAAACTTGTAATAAATTTTTTTTGTTAGTGCGCAGAGATAGAGTTTGAAGCCAGTTTTATTTTTAATATGTTGAACCCGATTAAACCCTGTTTAACACATGAAAAATGAAACTTAGTCCAAACTCAATTTCGAGATTAATGTGATTTTTTCAAATCAAATTTCAAGTTACACCTGATACTGTTCTGACTGGTCGAGGTTCTTGAAATTATCATTATGAATTTTAAATTCTATGTAGTGTAACCACATTTTTCTATTAAAAAATTCATGACTAAAATTATAACGATAACAATTTTAAAATGGCCAAGTTCTTCGAGAAGCTTTCAAATGATTGCCTTGAACTTCTTAATGACAAAGAAGAACTTAATGTAGTTATTAATGTTGGAAAATCACCAGATACTAAGATATTCCAAGCACACTCAATTATTCTAAGATATAGATCTTTGTATTTTCGTAATGAGTTAGCAAAAATTAAAAAAGATACAAATAACGTTAAGACTATTAATTTAAACCATGTTTCTATTCAACAATTTGAAATAATTATTAAGTAAGTTATTTATTTTAGTGAATAATATAATTTGGTTTTTATTTAAATGTCTAAATTTATGTATTGGATAAACGGCAACTTACTATGATTTGCCTGCCAAGTAAAAATACTATCATACCTGCCAAATATTATTTTATTTGACAGGCAAATAGTAATTTAAGTCCATGCCAGTAATTCTATAGCATTTTAGATTTAGATGCTTAAATAAAAAAAAAAAAATCTTATAAATCCAGGCTCCTAATATTCTCTCAGAAACACTTCTGATGATATTTTAACCCCATGAAAAATATCAAATGTTATTTATTCCACGGACATGACATCATCGGTAAAATTTTTTAGTCAAAAATGTGTGGGACATAGGACCGTGAAACATTTATTAATATCTATATGTATGTGTAAGAACTAACTTTAATTATTAATTTTATAAAGATATATTTACGGTGGAGTGACTTTGTTGGAAAATCATTTATTTTTGAACTCATGCTTGTTGCTTCCGAGTTTTCTCTTGATGAATTAGCCAAACACTTTGAAACTCAGCTAATTAAAGGAAATGCACACTGGCTCCTTTTACATTTTGCACGTATTTATCACAAAAGCTTCCAAAATAAGAACTTTCAAGAATTACAAAAATGGAGTAGTGATATTGTAGTAAAATATCCAAATAAGATTTTTGAATCAGAGGACTTTACCTTTCTCCCGGAAAATGCATTAATCTCAATTATTAAGCGAGATGATTTACAAATGGATGAAGGGAAAATTTGGGAACATGTTATCAGGTGGGGAATTGCTCAAAATACAGACTTACCATCCGATCTTAAGAATTGGTCTTGTGAAAATTTCCTATCTTTGAAGACTATATTAAAGAATTGTTTGCCTCATATCCGTTATTTCCAAATTACAAATGATGATATTATCGATAAAGTGAAACCGTATAAAAAAGTTCTTGAAAAAAATCTTTGGGATGATATACTCCAAAAATTGATTTCTCCTAATAGACAAATATCATCGACAATTCTTCCGCCCCGCGAGATTTCTACACCAACGTTACCGTCTAGAGTAACCAATTCTGTTCCGATTGAACATGTAACACTTCATATATCAATACCTTCTAGATTTTAGCACAAAAATAGAGCCAATAGATTCTATTGATCTTCCAACGATCCTAATTCAATCTATACTGACTTTCATCGAAAATATCCTATCGATCATATACATTTTGTGATGTATCAGCATTTCCTTCAACAGTTATTAATACAGCTCAGGCAGCAGAAATTGGATCATGGATTGATAAAAAAACTAAAC